GTTCATTATTTTAAGGTGTCAGAAAGTAGTTAAAAATACAAAAAAAAACCGTAACCTTTTGTAAAAGGAGACCACAATCATTCTTATCTTTTAGATTTCAAAATGGGTGGTTGTAAGGGTGCTATTGAATAGACCCAAAATTTCAAAAACAAATTCCTGACTTTTAGGTAGAAAATTTTCATTTAAAAAAAAAAAAACACAAAAATTACAATTAAAATAAGACAAAATAAGATGCGGTAGGACTTGTTTCCTAAATTTTCAAATCTCTTATTTTAAATGACTTCAAAAAATTTTAAATAAAGAGTATTCGCTATTTTAAAATTATCAATAAGGCAATTTTTAAGATTTATTGCAAATCCAATTATTTGACAATGACATAAAATTAATTAAAAATAAATATAAAAATAAGAGATGCTACGAATGTGATAAATTTGAGCAGAATGTTCCAATGCCTAGTTTTCGTATTTTCTTAAACTTTAAAGGTTTCCATTGATATTAGTTATGGAAAATTGTTTCATGCGGGATGGACCGCATTTCTACAATATGTAATCCTAAGGTATAATGCATCCATCTTAAAGATGGATGCAAGTAGATGTTCCATTCAAAAACAATGGAAATTAACAGTCCAAGATGTTTTCTTTTTATAATTATTACTTTTAGTTTTTAAAATTTATTTATTTATTCATATTCATGATCTCCATGTTAGAGATTACATGTCTTTAAAAATTAAGTCTTAAACTGAATCTAAACCATAGATGTATTAAGAGGCCCGCATTTCTACATATGTGGGCTTGCCCACCCAGAAATCGGGTCCATTAGTTATTGCAAACCTTTCACCCAATTCAATTTCAATCCATGTGCACTCTACATGGATTAAATCGTGCAACAAAAACAAGGAAATATATATTTTCTATTTTTATGAGGAAGAATGAAACCTTATGCAAAATCATGAAGACTTTGATTTAATAATAATAATAATAATAATAATAATAATAATAGGAGTAGTAGTAGTAGTATAACTGTAATAACTTGAATTAAAATTACTGTGCTTTAAATATCGTAAAACCTACGGAATTTTAAATTAGGCTTCTTATATACCTTAAAACCCAAGCCATACATATTATATAACAATTAACTACTCTATTATAGACATTAGATACATATCAAGATGGATATCTATCTGTAGAGATATATATTGATAAGGTTATTATCTGTAGAGATATATATTGATAAGGTTATTGGTGTTCATATCCTTGATTGTGATAAAATTTGGTATTTATCTAATGTATTTATCTGCCGGCAACAATTAAGGATATATACCTTAAAACCTAAGCCATACATATTATATAACAATTAACTACTGTATGATATACATTAGATACATATCAATATGGATATCTATCTGTAGAGATATATATTGATAGGGTTATTGGTGTTCATATCTCTTGATTATGATAAAATTTGGTATTTATCTAATGTATTTATTTACCGGCAACAATTAAGGATAAGTACCATCAGTTATGGATAGATACCACCTAAACATGCTAGGTATCTATCTATAGAGATATATATTGATAAGGTTATTGGTGTTCATATATCTAAATTATGATAAGATTTGGTATTTATCTGATGTATACAGTTAAGGATAAATAACATCAGTGGATGGATACTGGTTATGGATAGATACTTCCTAAATATGCTAGGCAATTTATACAGTAGTTAAAATGCCCTATATAGTTATTACGCTAATACGACTCCTGTGAAGGTCTTAGTCACAAAATGACCAAAATTGAAGAAAAAGAAAAATGACGTGGACGAGGTTTATGAAAGTTAGTTTTTTTTTTTTTTCAAATAGATGAAAATTAAGGTATTTTTGTGATAATTTCTCAAAATTTTACATTCACTTTTTTTGTTGAAGTCCAATAAATTAAGGAGTTATTGTTAGCTTCAAATTTGCTAAAATATCGGCACGTAGTACAAAATTGGGAAAATTATGTAAATATACGTTATATTTACCATTATTACTAAAATACCTGAAACTTTATGTTATTACCCAAAAGTCTGTTTTTCCAACTTGATAATT